CCCCAAAACCCCAAAACCCCAAAACCCCAAAACCCCTTAGTTATAGAATCAAGTTGAATATAATATTAAAATGAACACATTGAAAATAGGTTCCTACAACGTGGTAGTAGGAAGCAAGATCAGCGAAGGAGGATTTGCCAATGTTTACAGAGCAAAATGAGTAAGCACAGGCGAAGCATTCGCTCTCAAGAAGATCTTCCTTCGTGACAAGGAAGTCGAAATTGTACAAATTTTGGATAATACTTATAGCAAATGAAGAAAGAAGTCAGCATATGGAGGAAAGTAACTGGGCATCCCAATATTGTCAAGTTTTATGACGCTACAATGATTGATAGAGGCACTGATAAGTACCTGTTGATCCTTTCTGAGCTCTGCCCAGATGGCCACCTTCTTGACCTCCTGGAAAGATACGAGGGAAAGTTGAGTGAAGAAAAAATTATCCAGGTAATGAAGCAGGTCATTCATGGAATTTTACACATGCATGAGCAGAGTGCTCCGATTGCACACAGAGATATCAAGGTTGAAAATATTTTAATGAAGAGTACTAAGATAAAATTATGTGATTTCGGATCAGCCAGCGCTGAATATCTAGATCCTAAGTATTGAAATCAAGACGAACTGGATGATGCTTTTGAAACTTATGAGAAATATACCACCTTTATGTACCGACCTCCAGAGATGTTGGACAAGTTCTCAAATTGGGAGATTGGAACAAAAGTAGATTGATGGATGCTTGGATGCGTTTTGTATGCTCTATGATATTTTACCCACCCATTTCAGGACGCTCAAAAGCTAGCAATTATAAATGCCCACTATTTCTTCCCTCATGACAGAGAGAGTTCAAGAAGGATTAGTGAGAAAATGAGAGATCTTATCTGGAATATCTTGACTCCAAATCCGCATAAAAGGCCCTCGATGGGAGAGATCCAAGAAATCTTGGAAGATTGGGATAGAATAGATCAAATAACTCTTAACAGCGATGCTAGGAAAATAAAAGCAGAATATCTTCGGAAAATGAAAGGTGTTACTAAGACAGGAAAATCTGCTGTTCCTCGTATTGGAGATTTGTCAAATGACGACATCGTCAAACTCCAAGCGAAAATCAGAAAGGAAAAAGATCAAAAGAAAAGCAAGGTGCTTGTACCTTTCCATCAAGATTACTCTTCTAAGATGAAGAAAGAGTTGTATAATAAACCAAGCAAAAATCCAGCTGCATCTGTAAAACAGACTCAGAAGAATAAGAAGGCAACGAATGAAAATAAGCCAAAGCAGTCTACTTTTTGGGATGGTTTTGAATCCCATAAAGAATCACAACCTGACAAAAAGATAGACAGGCAGCCTCCTGCAAAGCAGTCTCCAAAGGATGACTTTGCATGGGACTTTGATCAGCCAAATAAATCTTCAAAGAAATCAGGAGATTTCTTTGAAGATTTCGAAGAGCCTAAGCAACACAGCAAGAATGACTTTGATTTTGACTTTGGAAGCTCTCCAAAGAAGAAGGAAAGTCAAGATGACTGGTTTGAAGATTTTTCTCCAGAGAAAGAAACTCAAAAGCTTGATTCTTTCTTTGATTTTGACGAATCAGACCAAACCAATGAGCCTTCTGCTTGACAGGAGGAGCAGAAGGCTCCTCCTGTCAAGCAGAAGAAGCAGGATGCTTTTGATTTGCTAGACATGGGTCAAAAGAAACAAGAAGTTCCTGACTTATTTGATGAAGATAATTCTAACAAAGATGTTAAGGCGGAAGATACCACAGATTTATTTGATAATTCTCAACCAGCTAAGAAAGCAGATGATTTTGATATTTTTGGAGATGAAGCTTCAAAAGACAAAAAGACGAAAGAGCCAGATATCGATATTTTTAATGATGAGTTTGGAGAAAAGAAAGATAATCAACCTCTTCAGTCAGATTTTGACCTTTTTGGGGACCATGATGGGAGAGATGAAAATAAACCAGAAAAAGATGACATGGACTTCTTTGAGAATTTTGGAGCCAAAGAGATCAGTAATGATGATTTTTTAATTGGAGAAAAACCAGCAGAAAGCGCAGAAGAAAAGCTCCTATTTGGAGAAGAAGAAAAGGAAGAGTTTGATGAAGGTTATTACACTTCACTTTTTACAGAATCCGCTCCTCAAAAACCAAGAGTTGAAGCCCCTGGAATTAACCTTTCATCATTATACAAAGCAACAAGCTCTCCGTCAGAACCCTCAGGGCCACCTCCAGCTCCAAAACCTGTTGAAAAATTCATCCCAGAGGTTGCAAAGCAAGGAAGATCTTTCTGGGACTCTACTCCACCTCAAAACCCTCAATACTACCCAAATACGACACAAACTTCTTCCAGCTCTTCTCAGTACAAGCCTCAGCCTCCAATTGAGAACCTTTATGCTCCTTCAGCAACATCAATCTTCACAAATTCTAATCCAAAGCCACCACAGACATCGGGTAGGCAACAGAGTTACTTTGAATCACGCCAACAAGCTGAGAAGGAAGAGCCCACTTCCTTCTTCTCAAAGCTTAAAATAAGTAATTTGCTCTCAAAATTTGCTTAAAGTCCTGGGGTTTTGGGGTTTTGGGGTTTTGGGGTTTTGGGG